TTCTTCCTCGGTCTCTGGGTGTTTGCCGCCCTGCGGGGCTTCCGGTTTTCGTCGGGGCCTGTTGCCTGCGGACGCTCGCATTGGGGCCGTTCGAGTGAGAGGAGAAGAGATCTGGTGCGATGATGGAACCCTCGTTTTAGAGGGTGGCGGACTTAGAATGGAAACATCGGCTCCCATCTTGTCCTGGTGTCGACTGTCATGTGCGTGGGTTGTGGGTCATACTCCTCCCTGGCATCGCTCGGACGTCCATTCCCTGTGTTTTTTGTCGGTTTCGTGCGTGGATTTTTCGCCAAATGATCAAGGATGCTCCTCGATCGCCCTCGCCGAGAACAAATGCACACGTCCGACCGATGCCAGGCCTCAGAGATGCTGCCTGGGGTCTCCTCGGAGGGCTGCCGTGAGCTTCTGAGGGGCAGTGCGTTCCTGTGGCGCCCAGAGGAGAGGACTGCTACACCGCGACTGCCAGGGCCCGAACACATGTCTGACTTCCAAGAGCCACCTGTTCGCAGGGGACGTCCCCACAAATCTGGGCGCCGACGGGCAAGTGTCCGACCCTCTGACGCCCTCCCTCCCTCTCTAGGGTGTGGAGGTATATCACTCCAGGCACACTCTTGTGGAACCGAAAGTCCAAACAAAACGACAACAGCAGCCAAGTCTTCAAAGGAAACCACCTCTCAAACTTACGACGCATCGATCAAATCGATTACCCGCCACCCATCAAATGTTGACAACGGGCGAAACTGCGAGACGTGACCGCAAGGTAGATTTCAACAAAGAGCGAAAATCAGCCGACCGTTCGTCGTGTGTGAGACGCTGTCGTCGTCTTCGTCGTCGTCGTCGTCGTCGCCGTCGCCAGTCCTGAGTCCCGCCTTTTTGGACCATCTTGGGGCGATCTCCGGGGCCTCTTGGGACTTCCTGGACGCTGGTAAGACCAAACAACGAATATGCTAAACACATACGGTTTCCTGAAGGACTGGTAAGGTCTTCGCCTCTTGGGGCCGTCTTGGGGGTTCTCTTGGAACCGTCTTGGGGCGCCCTGGGCCGTCTTGGAATCCCTTGGAACTTATCTGGAAGCTCTGGGGGGTCCTGGAGGGACTCCGCGGAAGCTCCTGGGAGGAGACCCCAGGAGGGGAGGGGGCCCTTAGGTGATTCTGAGTGACCCTGGTGTGCTGCAACCCCGGAGCCTCTGGGAGTAGGTTTCCGATTTACGAAAAAAACTAGAACCACACGCGCGTTGTGCGCGCTGTGGTTCTAGCACGATGCGGCAACGGTCTAGGGTTCGCAGCATCGGAGCGCAGAAAGACTTCTATCAATCATGATCACTCAGCAAATCGTACCCTCCCCCTACGTCACCACGGATGCATGGCATGAACCCCAATCGACCTTAATCCTACATACTCCTCTCAGCAAGCCCTCTCACTCTCTCTCTCCTTTCCACCCCCCTTTTTTGGCGGACCAATGAAATCACATTCCACGCGGCGGAGGAGCTGTTGCGGGCGCGGTGGACGAATTCCACTCGGCATGCAACGCGACAAAGTATATTCGATGTGGGCGCAGTGGACGTGTTCCACTCGGCGTGCAAGAATGAAAAATACAGCTGGCCGCAGGTCTAAAAAGGACTCCGCATGATCCCACTCCAGCTGGCTACATGCCCCTTTTATCATTTCCACAGGGGCGCCTCGAGAAAACCACACACAAACAAGCACAGCAGCAACTCGTGTGTCCACCAGGGGGGGGAGTGGGGGGTGGGCCCCAGTGCTTCATCCACCCGCGTGAAGCAGCCGCTAAAAGCAACCAAGATCTGGTCTTTGGGGAGGGGGGGGGGCGGGGGCCCGCGCCCATCGGCGAAACAATACAGAAAAAAAACAGCTACCTCTCAAGACGGCTCAGTGGGCCCGACTTCGGCACACCCCTCATGCACTCTACGCCTGCCCGAGGCCTAGGCGACCCAGAGCGTCCAAGGCCCACCTGGAGCAAACGCAATCCCAACTGCCCAATGCCTGCCCACGCACTCCCAGGCCTGCCCAAGGTCAGCCCGACGGCCTATCCAATGGCTGCCTCAGGCCTACCTGGCGGTCTTTCGAGAGTTGATGAATGGCACACCCAGAGCCCAGTGAAGGCCCGCCCACGACCTGGCCAAGGCTTATCACAGACGTTACCAATACCTATACGAGTCCTACGTCTAGCCAACCACACACGAGCACCACAACGAATGTGAACACCCAAATGCGCGCGACCACCGTGCCCGCGCTCGTCTTACAACCGCCACGATAATCTTGACAACGATGGGCTGCCATGAAAGGTTCTGCGGCGCGCCCACCGTCGTCATGTAACCGCCGCGCAACATTTGACAACGCTGGGTTGCCCTAAAGGGTTGAACGGTACGCGCCAGAAAAAACATCGACAACGAAATCTTGGATCAGACGGTCACCCCAGTACCGCGGCGACTGCCGCTGACGCAGCGTAACTCTCTGGATAGCCGCACACATGTCTCTCTCTCTCTCTCTCTCTCTCTATGGGGGTCAGTGAAACCCGACCAGCTATTCTCCAATGTGTCGCCTGCTGGCCGAACTGCGTGGTGAAACCACCTATCGCATGGAAACTACATTGCACATACTATTAGAAGACACTGCACACGCAACACGACCGCAAAAACGAGTTGGCCTCAAACACGGCCGCGAAAACGACGCAAAGACGGCCGCACCAAGCGAGTTGGATTGGTACGAACAAAGATGCCAGATGGCATGCTCGCAATCGCTCTCCACGCACGTCTCTGCAAGAAGACGGCTCCGAACCCACTCTAGTCTGAAACTGGTTTCCAAGACGGCTGCGATGGCCTCAAGAAGGCCCAAGATGACCCCACAATGTCTCCAAGACCAACCGAGATTGGGTCATTGATTTTCCGTAAACGGTTGACGGACGTTGGCGTTTGTTCATGTTCGGCGGTCCGACGGCCCAAGACGGTCCCAGAGGCTACCAAGATGGCCCCAAGAGCGCCCATGAGGCCTCCGAGATGGCTCGCTGACGATCCGAGAGGCCCCCAAGACGGCCCCAAGAGGACCTCGAGACGGCCCGAGAGGTCCTCAAAACGCCCAAGATGGCCTCCAAGACGGCCATGGAGCTACCTCAAAGCCCCAAGTCGGCCCAGTCCCCCAGGATGGCTTCCGACGGCGTCAGACGGGCAAGGAACGCCCTCAGGCTGCAAACGAGCCTCCCAAGGAGTCCCCAAGAGGCTTCCAAAAGCCTCCCAGGAATCTCACAGGAGGCCCAAGCAGTTCCCAGAGAGGCTCCCAAGAGGCCTCCTCCTCCTCCTCCTCCTCCTCCTCCTCCTCCTCCTCCTCCTCCTCCTCCTCCTCCTCCTCTCTATCTGTCCATCCTGTCCTCCTCTTCTCCTGTTCCCCCCACAGGCTCCCCGAAGGGCCTCCACAACGGCAGGGGGAACCCCTGGCCCGATAGTTTCGCACGAGCTCTGGCCGCAGCGTCTGGCCACACAGGCGCTTCCGGCAGGCAGGGGGCGGCGACGATTCGCCGTAGGCGTCTTCGATGAGAGCAAAACAAAAAAAAATGTTCGTTTGTTTTTTGCATTGTTTGCAATCCTTCGTTTTTTGTTTGAAGCCGCCTGCAGCTCGCAGAGGGGCCCAGGGAAAGAGAGCGAGAGAACCAGAGAGCTGCGGGGGCGGCAGGCCAGAACGAGCACGCCAGAGGCCTGGGCCACTCCTGCGGTCAGGTCCTTGCCGTGTTGAGGCGCCCCCGCTGCACGGGACGAGCCCCGAGGCTACCCGTCGGTGGCTCAAGGAGGTGGTCCCGAGGGACGGGGTCCTGAGGACGAGGTGCCTCAGACAATGTAAATCCACGCTTGAAATCCCTTTTGATCCTGATGTCTCCATTTTGAGCAGGGACCGACCGTCTCAGCATTCCAATATGCCTACCACGACATCATCTTGGAACACAGGAGTGTTCCAAGAAAGAACGGCGCCCTCAGAGAACATGAGCCCGACGTGTGAAAACAGGACCGTCTCCACCAGACATGCTCCACGAACACCTCGTGCAGACCACAACGAAGCTCTTAGAACATGCTCTGGTGGTCCTGTGGACAGGCCAGGACGCTTCACCACTGCTCGGAGGCGCTTGGCCCCTGGCCCCCCATGCATGCCAACACCCCCGGTGCACCCAGCAAGAATCGCGCCCCTCGGAAGGACCAGAAGGCGTGGCCCACATCGCCACCAAGACGGCCCGAATGGCCCAAGATGGCCACCAAGATGCCTCCAAGGCGGCTGGGATTGCCCCAAGAGAGCCCAAGACGGCCACAATATGTAAAACAGGGCTAGGATCGGGATAAATCGCTCCAGAGCGTTCCGGAGCGCTCTCAGAGCTTTCCGGAACGCTCTGGAGCGGCCGCGGCGCCCAATACGTCCTCCAAACCCGCCGATTCTCAGAGATTTCGAGTAATCCCGATCCGATTTTGTCCCGATCTTCGCGTCGTTTTACCATCTTTTGGCGGCGCGCACAAGGGGGTGGGGGGAGGGGGGAGGGCTTCTTAGGAGCAGGCTGCTTCTTAGAAGGCGCCGGCCTTACATCTATAGACAAGGCCCGCGCCTTCTAAGAAGCAGGGGTGCTTCTAAGAAGCCCTCCCCCACCCCCCTCTGCGCGTGGCTGAATCTTTGAACCACCGACAAATCTATGAACAACAAAAAAAGCCCGCGGGCCGCGGCTCCGCCCGCGGGCGCCGCCATGGGCGGAGCAGCCGCACCCTCCTCGGCGGCCCCGCCGCCCGCGCCGCGGGGACGGCCCCGCGGGGCGCGCCCACGCCGGCCCTGGGCCATGGGCGGAGCAGCCGCACCCTACTCGGCGGCTCCGCCGCCCGCGCCCCCGCCGCCCCTGGTTTCGCCCGGTTTCGCCGACGAGTGCGAGCTGCGTGCTTTCCTTGCTAGTTCGCACAGCTCACGGCATAGCTCGCGAGAACAGGCTTTTGCCGACAAATCGGTCAGACAGGTGTGCGATCACCTGAGAAGGCTGGTTTAGCCGATGGCTGTCTCGAAACGCGCCCCTCCCCCCTCTCTTGTCGGGGCGGGTGGTGATGGGGGGTGCCCTCAATTGACTGCCTGCCAGACCGGCCCAGCCTCTAGCCCGGAGACCCTCGCTTCGGGTTAGGGGGGCAACTATAGGCCCCACACGCGCTGTTTCCAGGCTCCCCTGCGCCCCCCCCATTGGGAATGGAGGGAAACTGGGACCTTCGAGTTGGGTCGGGGTGGTCTGGCCCCGTCCGACCGAAGCCCTACTCCAGATTTCGTGATAAAAGGGAGGGGGTCTGGACCCTCCAAGACAAGCCATTTCAGACCTCCCCCGTGAGAGAACCCTCCAAAACATCGTCCCCAGACCCCCCCAGGCCCTCCAAGATAGCCTGGAAGAGACCCCCCCCGAAATGAGACCCCCCTCCCTTTATTACGAAATCTGGAGTATCCACCTGGAACCCTCCGGCCCACAGCCCACACAGTGTCACACCCCTGCGTGCGAGATCACCGCGCCCCCTCGCAGGCGCGCCCGCTCGGCGCCGCCGGTCGCGCCCCCGCCGCAGCGCCCGAGCCCGCGCCCGCGGCGCGCGCCCCCGCGCCCGGCTGCAGCGAGGCCCACCTGCAGAAGAGTGGCAACTCAGCACAGAGACACGGTTCGTGCGGCGCTGGCGCGAGCAGCTGCTGCTCGCCATCGCTGGGACGTCCATTCCTCGTGCATGTTTCGATGTCGTGCGTGCTTTTTTCGCCAAATGATCAAGGATGCTCCTCGCTGGCCGTCGCCGAGAAAAAATGCACACGTCCGAGCGATGCCAAGGCTTCTGACGCCGCATCGAGCGTTCCACCTTGATTCGATCGCGGCCCCGATCCTGCGAGGTCGACTTCCGTCGGGCCCAGAGGCCCTGCCGTATCCCTCGGTGCTTCCGCGACGCAGACTTCAACCTGGAACGGCGTCGCCGGCGTCGCCGGCGCGCCAACGCCGCGTGAACCTGCTGCACAATCTGAAGGGGCCCTGGGACACACGAGTAAATACTATACACAAGTAACCGGATTCCCCACATGTCTCCATAGTTTCTGGGCTTTGTCCCCCCCCCACCACTTCCCATAGCTTCCCACACTTCCGGGGGAATCGACGACTCACTGTGTCTCTGTGTGTTTTTTCCCTCCTGATCACCGTGCGCCCACTCGCCATCGCTCGGACGTCCATTCCCTGTGTTTTTTCGGGTCTCGTGCGTGGCTTTTCCGGCAAGTGGTCAAGGATGCTCCTCGACGCTCCTCGCCGAGGGAAAAACGCCCGAGCGATGCCAGGCCCACGCGCACGGACCGCCGAGCAAGAGGCGGACGGGGGGGCTCTGTGGCCGCGGCGGGCCTCGGCGCCACGAGGCCGGTCCGCGGGGCGGCTCGGAGGCTGGAGCCCCTCCGGGGGCCTCGGGGCGGCCCCTCGCCATCGCTCGGGCGTCCAGTCCCTGTGTCTTTTTCGGTGTCGTGCGTGGTTTTTTCGCCAAGTGATCAAGGATGCTCCTCGATGGTCCTCGCCGAGAAAAAGTGCACACGCCCGAACGATGCCAAGACGAAGCAGGTCCACGGAGCGGCTCGGAGACTGGAGCCCCTCCGGGGGCCCAGGGCGGCCCTTACACTTTTTTGGCCGGCGGGGAGAGGCCGAAGCTCTTCCGCGAAAAGCTAGGCGGGCTACGCACAGCTCTGATTAGGGAGACAGGGCACCGGCGGGCGGAGCCCCAGGCGGCCGGAGAGGGCGGGGCGAAGGGCGGCCCTTGTACTCGACCAGGATAGCAAGGATGCGCGGTAAGGATGCGAGGGCCTCGGAACGCCATGTTGACGTTTTCCGTGCGGAGCGCAGCAGACTGCCGAAGGATGCCGAACACCGAAGGGGCAAGGGTGCAAGGGCAGCCTTGGAAAGTTGCCCCATCCTTACTATCAAGGTTGACTGTAGTTCAGCGTCACGGCTGTAACCTTTTCGGAGGCCCGCGCGGACTTTCTTCAGAGGGCGGAAACCCACCCCCATAGAACTCACCCCGACAAGCGAGGCCGTTTCGTAAACCCACCTACGCAAGGAATCAAGCAGGGCAGGGCTGTTTAGTAAACGCCCAAGGCCGTTTAGTAAGCGTCAGTTGTCAGGTCCGTGTGGTTTTTCCTCCCTTCATGTTGAATCAGCGCTGAACTCTCCTCCAGCCTCCCTGGCTCGCAGAGCGCCAGGGGCGGCGACAGAGCAGGGGGTAGACCGCTGAACCGAACTTGTTTCACCCAGGCATCCGATGCCCTGACTCTTGCAACCTGGGGCCCCGGAAATGCGAGCAATAGTTATATCTACGTCCAGGAGCCGGAGGCGCACTGGATATGGATAAAGATCTGGCCCCCCCAAGGTTAGATTTTTATCCACATCCAGTGCGCCTCGGCCTTGCGGCACCACTTCCCAAAAAGTCCGAGACGCTCTGGATATGGATGGAAGTATCGCCCGCAGGAAATATCCCGCCCTTGCCCCCGGGGTCCTGGGCGGCGAGGGCCCCCGGAGCCCGAAGAGGGCCCAAGACCGCCCGCGTATCTCTGTCGCGCCGCATGCATGTGCGGGCGTGGACCTCCGAACACACTGTTCGCAGGGCAGCCTTGAACACATGGGATGTTGAATCATGCCGGGTTTGCATTACATGGTTAATGCATGAAGAAGCTTATGCATGAACTCATCGTTGTGTTTGATACCAAGTCCCTGCATGTTCTCATACATGATCCACACGCGGAGCATGTATCAAGAACGGCACTGTACGCATGCTTTCAAGGGGCCCAAGGACACACACACAAATACACACAGACACACAAATACACACACACTTGGGGATCGGCGATTAATTATGTCTGTGTGTTTTTTCCCCTCCTGATGCTTGTGCTACTCGGCACCTGTCGTCAAGCCAAAACCTGCTCTGCAGCCCCTGCGCCGCCAGCCGGGCGGCCGGCGCCAGGTCGGCGCCCGGCAGCCGCGCCTTCGGAGACGGCGGCGGCAGCGACACCCACCTTGGGGGGTACGGCAGGGCAGAAGCGAAACGTGAGTACGACAACGTAAGTTAAGAGCACATGTAATGTCGGGGATGGACAGACCCCCCTTTAGTAAAGCGTGGTTTAGTGAAAACGACCTGAGGCCCAGACCTGGCGGGCGCCAGCCTGGAATATAACGGCCACGGCGCCCTCTCGAGAACCGAAAACAGACAATTCATTAATCGACGTGTCACTGTGGGGGGTTCTGTCCACCCCCGAGAAGTTAAGAACAAATGTAATGTCGGGGATGGACAGACCCTTCTTTGGTAAAACGTGGTTTAGTGAAAACGACCTGAGGCCCAGACCTGGCGGGCGCAAGCCTGGAACATAACGGCCACGGCGCCCTCTCGAGAACCGAAAACGGACAATTCACTAATCGACGTGTCACTGTTGGGGGTCCTGTCCACACCCGATAGTGGACGGGGGGAGAAGCCACAAAACGCTCGACGATGCTTTGGCGTTTCTGCCGGAGGCGCCGTGGCGCCAGGTCCAGACCCGCCGCCCCCTCCGGCGAAGAAGAATGCCACCCGCAATCCGAAGCGTGACCTCGAAGTGGCCACATCTTCGTCGCACTGCCAAGCTCGGCCCCCAGAGGTGCGCCCCGCAGACCGCGCCCCCGCCCGAATCCGGGGGTACTGGTGTCTCTTGCAGGTAAAATTTACGTTCCTGGCTGCGACCGTTTGCATTGCCACGACTCGTCGCGTGCACTCTATCCGCGGGGCCACGTTTGGGCCTCGATGTGCTGCCCGCGATTGCTACGTACAGTCGGGGCCCTGAAGAAGGAACCCTTTTGGTTGGGGAGGCGCTCCGCGTTCCTTAAGTGTTTCACAGCTTGCCTCAGGTTGTCCTTATGTTTTCGATAGGAAATCGAAGTTTAACTTATGGAGAAAAGGGGCCTCGTTCCTTATTTAGGGTTCCTTAGGTCAAGGCCCCGACTGTAGGTTGTCCTTCCTCTGTCTTCCCCTCCCCTTTCTCTCCTCTAACCTCCGATGCCCCTCCGCATGACTGCAAGGCCCGAGTCTCGGCCACGTTCGCGGGGCACCTCGTGCCCCAGCATCTCGATGCGACCACCCGCGGCCCAAAGAGGGCGCCGAATGGTAACCGGTGGGAAAGGCATCCTCCTCCGCCTCCTCCACCTCCTCCTCCCCTTCTCCCTCCTGCTCGCAGTGCTCGTCTTCTTCGTCCTCGTGCCTCGCGTTCACCCGGCGACATCTCCGAACAGACGGCCAACGACAGGGCTAGATCTGGGCTGACAGTGGGCTACATCTGGGCTGGAAGTGGGCTAACGAGAGGGCCACATCTGGGCTTAAACTGTGGGCCACACCTGGGCTGCACCATCCCAAGCAGATCTCCGCCGCATCCCTGTCCTGCGAATTTGTGAATCTGGCAAGCCCTTCCCTGCATCTGGCCGGCGGAGGGCTTCTCTACCGATTGCCTGTTGCCGCCACCGCGGCTGCATTCCCGTTCGAAATTTTCGTGTTCCCGTCGGACGCGCGGGACGTGTCACTGAAAGACTGAAGGGGCCCCAGGACACACAAATAAATACACACCAATAAACATATCCCTCTATATTTTCCAATATTTGGGGGGGGGTTTGTCTTCCCCCCCACTTCCAATATTTTCTGGGGGATCGAGGATGAATTGAGTCTGTGTGTTTCCTTCCCTCCTGAAAGACCAGACGCGCGCGGGCCACATCTGGGCTTAGCGTGGGCTAGCAGCGGGCTGGACAGTGGGCAAGCGTGAGCTAGCATTACCAGCCTCGAGCGTATCCCTATCCCTAAGATTGACACGCCCAAAGGCGATGACAATCTTAGGGATTCGCCCTCAAAGAATAAGGGAATCCCTAAGATTTGCATCGTGATGAGGAGGTGCCCAGCATAGGGATAGGGATATGTTCCAGGCTGGTAATAGCAGTGGGCCACATGTTGGCTGAAGGGGCGAACCGTGGGCGCCGAGTCTGCTAACAATGGGCGGCTAGAGTTGGGGTGGAGCTGGGCACCATGAAGCCACCTGGATGCGACATCCTACCGGTCTCCCACGACCGGAATGCTATCCAGCGCCGCGTTTCAGGACTACGCACACTACGCAAGCAATGCACCACGGGTAGCTGCGCCCAGTTTACATTCCACCACCTCCCCATTCCCTCCGACCGGTCCTCCTCCTCCTCCTCCTCCTCCTCCTCCTCCTCCTCCCGCCTCCCTCATTATCCTCCCTGTTTCCTTTCTTCGTGGAAAAGCGGGGGGGGGGGGGGGCCTGGTCCCACGCGGAAAAGTAAGGGGAATGCCGCAGACGCTCGCCGCGGCATCGGCGCAAGGCACACGGCGGTCTAGCGCGGCCCCGGCGACAGGCCAGCAGCGGGAAACGCAGCGAGATGAGGAGGCAGGAAGGGGAGGGGGAGGGAGGGGGAGGGAGAAGAAGGAGGAAAAGGGAGCAAGTTCCCCAAGACCCTTCCCAAAATCATATGGCGGGCCACCATGTGAATACTCCACCAAACTGTGCCGTGGAATACTGGTATTGGAGTCAGAGCTAACCACGCGGTAGTGAGGCCAGCTCTGCTACCAAGTCGAAAACAATATGGTAAGCCGAACCATCTACTGCGCCTCAGACACTCCCATGGCCCTACCAAGCTGGAGGTATGAGCGCGTAGCTAAGGGATGCGACACGGGTGGAATACGTAAGAGGGCGCATGCCAGAAGGTATGTTTTCCGTCCGTCGCAAGCGATGGTAGACAGCAAGCTGTCTAAGCATATGCTGTTAGGCGCCGTTTGAGCCACGTGGCAGAGGTTAGGCGCTCCTCTGCTCGCATTTCACTCTGTTCAAAGTCAGCACACCTCCAGGGCCCTCGGAGCCTCCACCCTGTGTGGCCACCAAAATGCCCAAGACGCCTTACATGGGTCCAGAGAGCTCTCCGCCATGCCAGAGAAGCCTCAGGAGCACCCAAGATGCCCTCAAGCGGGCCCAAAGCCTTCTCCATACTCACCGAGAGGGCCCCGAGATGTCGTCAGGAGTCCAACATCCGACGACCCCGTCGGCGTGGGTGAGAGGCCTCTCCATTCGAGTCGTCCTCCCCGTCATTCGTCAGTCGTCGTCTCTGTCGCCCCCTTTCCCTGCACCCCCTCTTTCCCTGGGCCCATCACCGCTCCCCCCCCCGTCCCTGGGCCCTCCTCGAGCGCTGGGCCCGCCGCCGCCCCCCCCTCCCCACCTTCCCTGGGCCCCCCTCCTCGAGCGCGCCAGCCGAAGCGCAATGGAGCAAACGCCGAAGCTGACTCGAAGGGGATCCCTCCCCCGCTGGGAGGGGGGGGGTCCAGGGAGGGTCCCCCCGCGGGGTCCCGGGGCCCAGAAAGGCCTCAAGAGGGGCCAAGAGTGCCCCAGGCGGCCCCCAGGACGGTCCAGGAGGGCCCGAGCCGCCGAACCATCTGTCAGACAACACCCTGACGGCCTCCAGACGGCCCAAGAGCCCTGCAAGACGCTCCAAGAGGCCTCCAGACGCCCCCCAGATCGCCCCAAGACGGCTCCAGGAGGGACCCAAAACGGCCCAAGACGGCCCAAGACGCCTCCAAGACGGCCCAAGAGGCCCCCAAGACTGCTCCAAGAGGGTGCCCAGACGAGGGACCAGGACAGACATTTCGAGCCCTCGGCCCAAGAGGCCCCCAGGAAGTCCTGAGAGGAGGCCCCCAAGAGGCTCCCAAGAGGCCCCAAGAGGCTCCCGAGAGACCCCTAAGCTGTCCCCCCGAGGCCCCAGAGAGCGCTTCGAAGAGACCCCAAGAAGCATCCATGAAGACTCTGACCCACGTCAGCGTCCGTTGTCGTCGTTCCCCTTCAGGGTCGGCGGCATCGGTCGTAAGGCCTTCGCATTCTGTAATTGCTGTCCCATGCGTTTTGAGCCGCGTTCTCGCCTATTCAGGCTTCTGAATCCAAAATGGCCCGAGAGCCTCCTCGAAGCCAATCCAAGACGGCCAAAAAGGCCCGCAAGATGGGCCGCAGACGGCCCAAGAGGGACCTGAGACGGCCAAAAAGGCCCCCAGGACGGCCAAACAAGCTTTCCAGAGGGCCCCAAGAGGGACCCAAGAGAGGCTCAAGAGCGAGAGCTCGCGGGGACCTTGGGACCCCCCCACAAGATGATCCCCGAGACCGCCGAACACGCCCCAAAGGGTCCACCATAGCATCCAGGATATCCGCCACCGTGCCTCTGGGCACAACGTGGGTGTGCCCTTAGGTCCTTTCCCTCACACACTGAGCCTCAGTCCTCACTCCCGAGGAGTCTCTGAGAGGCACAACCCCCCAAATTCACGAATCTCCTGGGGCTCGTCGCGGGTCCCTGCGGCTTGTCGCATTGATTTTTGGGGCCCACGAGGGCCCCAAGACGGGCCGAGAGAACTCCGAGTGGCCCCCTCAGATGGTCCCAGAGTGCTCCGCGTCGCCGAACGGTCGCTCCAAGACACCCCA